TTTTGCCTGCCAGGCCTGTCCAACTGCGTACTCTCCATGGGTGTTTTGGATTAGAGTGACAGTGTTGAGTGGTCCTCTAAGTGTTAGATGTTCACAGAGAATCCTTGGCAGTGGGTCTGGGAGCTGGTGAGACCGCTGGGCTCCCTGTCTTTGACCTAACGTAGGTGGCTGGGAGAATGCCTGGCCTCACCTCCAGTCTTGGTCCCCTTACCCAACCCCTTCCTTGACCTGCATCGACCTCACTTCTATTCTGTGGAGCCATGCCCTTCTCTCACCTCCACTGCCTGGCTCCGTGACTTAAAGAAAAAATCCAGATTCTACTGTGGCTGCTGTCCTTATAGTTCCTATCCTTTCTCAATGCCCCTGTCCCTGGAGAAAGGGTGGCACCAGCTTTCCTGCTTCCCACCTCGCCTGCTTCCTGGCCATTTGTCCTCTGATCACTGTCTCATTCTGTCTCTGGTCCACGTTTTTTGGATCTTTCTGTTTCACCAAAGAGCTGTGTCCCGAGGTAAAACTCGGACAGGTTTTGCTTATTCCATCGCCATCTGCCTTTAATTAATAGAGATTGCTCCCAGATCCCAGTGCTGGGTCATCTATCAGCTTCATTCTTGGCATTGGCGTGAGTTTTCATGATTTCATTGTCTTTTTTGGACTGTTTTGGAACCAAACAAGGGGAGGCCCCATGTGTGGCTGCCAAGTCAGTGCCATGTTGGAGAAGGTGTCAGGGCTGCCTGGGGGATGCTGGGGTCTGTCCTGAAGCTGTCTACAGCTCTGTGTCTCTCGTAGGGGAAGCAAAGGCAGGGATGCGTGCATACCCATGGATTGCTTGCTCAGTGACCTTGACTGTCTGGACCACATTCCAGATGAAGAGTCAACTCCAGATAGCCGTGGCAATGGCCATACCCTGCTGCCAGCCAGCTTCCCCCAAAGGAGAGCATGCAGCTTCCCCTGCCATGCCAGTTACTTGTGTTTTATGTCTTCCTTTCTCTTAAAGAACTTATTTGAAAGGCAGAGTTACAGAGGGGAGAGTAGAAACAGAGATTTTCCCCATTTGCTGGTTTACTCCCTAAATGACTCAACAGCCTGGATTTGGCTCGGCCAAAGCCAGGAGCTGGCACTTCATCCTAGTCTCATGTGGTGTATAGGAACTCAAGCATTTGGGCCATCTTCTGCTGCTCTCCCAGGAGTATTAGCAGGGAGCTTGATGGGAAGCAGAGCCGCTGGGACTCAAACCAGCACTCTGACAGTAAATGCCAGTGTCACAGATAGTGGCTTAAGCCACTGCATCACTCGGCACCGGCCTCTACAGTTCTAACAAGCTTGGTCTCCTTAGTGCAAACCTACATGAGAGCCAGCTACTCTGAACTGAGTAGGGAATACTTCCCAGCAAGCCCACTGACCTGACAAAAATTATCAGCATGGAGAAAGATCTAGAACCCACCAAGAAAGGTGAAGACACAAATAGCAACATTCCAAGGCTGGCCAGGATAATGGCTCCTCCAACATAAAGCAAGCTTTCCCCCTCCGACACTGGGAGCTGTGAGCCCACCATGGGTTCAGGGACCTTCCAGCCCCACAGCCTCCTCTGACTCAGTCATGCTGACCCCCAAATGAATATTGGAATCCTCCTGGGTCACCACTGTGGCACATAAAGTTAAGTCTCTACTTGAAATGCCAGCATTCCCTATCAGAACACCTGTTTGAGTCCTGGCTGCTGTGCTTCCGATCCAACTTCCTACAAATGCAGCAGGAGATGGCCTGAGTATTTGGACCCCTGCCACCCACATGGGAAACCTGGGTGGAATTTAAGGCTCTTGGCTTCAGCCTGGTCCAGCCCCAGTTGATGTCGCCATTGGGGAAGGAACAAGTGCATGGATGATCTGTTTGTCTGTCTCTCCCTCTCTCTTGCTCATGTTGCCTTTCAAATAAGTACCACTTTAACTTAAAAAAATAAAAGTAGACTTTCATGTTACTCCCTCCACCCCACAGAACCTCTTGGGGGTAAGACTGGGAGCATTAGTGTTTTTCAAGCTTCTGGCATATTCCACCTATAGCTGGGATTAAAAACCAGGGCTGAGAAGCCGGAGTTGATGTTGGCTGATGTGAATTGGGGGGTTGGTTCCAGGTGTTAAGAGGTGCTTGTGAGATATCACCCTGGTACCCTGGAGTTACGGCTGTGCCGAGAGCAGACACTTGGTACTCACGGTCAGGACTGCGGTAAGCAGGGCAAGGCTGCCATGTGATTGGGTGGTGTGGGCCGTCATGCTGCAGGGAGGGTCTTTCTGTCCCTGGTACGTCCTTGGCTCTGGAGAGAAAAGCTGTGGATGACAGTGGCTTGGCAGAATGGCCCTGGAGGCCCAGATGTGTCTGCCTCCCTTCCTTCCACCTGCCCACCTGGGTCGGGCTCACCTTCCACCAGCTAGGTGCCTCTTAGAGCCCTGGTTTCCTTGTCATTTTATGATAAAGATTTTCCCAACAGCAGGGACTTGGCCAGGGCTGAAGCCAGGAGTCAGGAACTCAATCCAGGTCTCCCATGGGGGTGGCAGGGACCCAACACCAGAGCCATTTCTGTTGCCTTCCAGGGTCTGCACCAACAGGAGGCTGGTGTCACATATTGCACCCAGGCAACCCTTCTGTGGGACAAGGACATCTTAACCACTAGGCTAAAGGCCAGCCCAAGTGCCCTCACCCTGCCGCTGGGCACAGCATCCTTCCCTCAGAACCTTCTAAGAGGCTCCGAGGGCTGGTGCACTTGACCCCTGCCGATCAAGGTAGAGATACAGAGGTGCCTGTACCCACGCAGAGGAGGCAGGGTGGCAGAAGTGCCTTGCTCCTGGTGACAGGTAGAAGTGCTGGTATGGGCCCATTCGCAGCTTGCACCAACGTCACAAGAAGGCCAAGAGGGTGAGTCCGAGGTTGCCGGTGGACATGGAGAGATGCCCAGTAGCCTCGGCCATATCCCTGGCTTGGCAGCCAGGTGTGGCATGGGAGGGCAGTGGTGGTGCAGTTGACTTGTGTGTGAGGACTGCCATTAGCTGTCATCTCATCTTCTCAGACTTGGTAGGGTGAAAGCCTGCTGGCTAACTAAGTCCATCACTGTCCACTCAGAGAGAGTTCTCCTGAGGGTGCTCCTAGCACAGTACATGACCCCCAGAGGGGCAGGGAAACCTGTCCCTGCCTGGGGATGCTGAGGGACTGCCCAGGAGGGAGTGGGGTTTGGGGTGGGACACTGGATCCCTGACTGCCAAGGCAACGGGATGGAGCTGTTTTCACTTGGATGGAGAGCCCTGGGCTGTGCATCCTGCTTTCCATGCGGCCAGGGCCAAGCTTTGGGGCAGATGTTCTTACAGATGTCAGCCGTGAAGCCGTGGGCTGGAGACAGGTGGCACTGCAGAGGCCTGCCTTCGTGCCCCCACCTACGTCACTGCTCACCCTCTCCTTGGCCTAGGGTTTCCCTCTCTGTGGTTCTTGTTCTTGGGGCAGTTGCTTATGTGTGTTCGTGTATGTGCACATGTGTGTTAAGCTTTTCTGTTTGTTGAAAGAACAATAGGGAGGGAGGGAAGGTGGGACAGACAATAAGCTTCCATCCACTGGTTCAGTTCCCGAATACTTACAAGCATTAAGTCTGGGCCAGGCCCAAACTAGAAATTCCATGTGGATGGCAAGGACCCAGGCATGTGGGTCATCTTCTGCTTTCCCAGGTACATCAGCAGGGAGCTGGATGAGAAGTGAGGCAGCTGGGACCTGGACCAGTGTCCCAAGCAGTGGCTTACCCTTCTGTGGCACAAACCTGGTGTGTGTGTGTGTGAGTGAGAGACAGACAGACAGACAGACAGACATTCACTTTTCTGGTCCCTGGTTCTCCCTCCCTCAGCATACCTGACCCCCAAGTGCCAGTCAAGGCCAGTGCTTTGGTTGGTCACCAATCTGGGAATTTCTAAACCACGGGGCATCCCTCATCCCAGCTCAGAGTTTCACTCTCACACTGTTGGTGCCCCTGGAAACATAGCCTGTCACGACCTGGGATGGTGATCTTGGTACTTGGAGCCCCAGGTCCGGGCCCTGCCTATGTTGCGATGAGCAGGTGGCTCACCCTTCTCGGGCCTCAGTTCTGGGGTCTGCAGAATGGGAAGGGCACCCACATGTCAGAATGAATTGTGATTGGGTGTGTCTAGTACTGAGGGCCGAATGTGTGGGAGAGACCTTGGGCCTCTGACAGGCTCGGCTGTGGCTGTGTGCTTAGGGCATCACGTGATGATTTTGCAAAGGAATTGTCTCCTGGTCCAGGAAACAGAAATGACTGGGGGGGCGGGGAAGAGGAGCCAGCGTGGGTGGGCTGGCTTGGGAGTTGACAGGACCACCCCTGGGAGCAGCAGGTCCATCAGTTGGCAGACCTCGGCGCCCTGTGCATGCCCCGCCAGGCTGGCCCTGGGGGCTGGTGTGCCCTGCCCCCAGTGGTACTAGCAGCCCCACCTCTCAGCGGTGGGGCCCAATAGGACAGTCCTGCTCATTTGCGCACTCCAGCAGAGTGGACACCAAAGGGGCTTTCCGATGCTTCACGGGCTGCTAATTTCCCCCTGCGACCTCTTTTGTCGCCACCTGACCCCAGCCAGAGGCTCCACGCCTTGAAAGCCAGTGCCTACCACAGACCCTGGCTGCGGGGTGACAAGGAGGCCTCTGTTGGCTTGAATCAGACTCCAGTTAGGTCCTAAAAACGGGGCAGTCATTCGTAGGCGTGGACTCTGGAGACCAGGGCAAGGAGCACGGAGATACAGAGCTTCCTCTCCCAGTCTCCTCCTGGAAGCCGAGGCGGCTTCATGGGGCTGGAGAAGCGGGCCTCAGGCTCCGGCCCCTTTGTCCCCAGGGCCTCTTGGGAAGGCCGGGCGTGCCCTGAGCACTTAGCCAGCCGGGCGCTGGGCATCACCAGGCCTCCCCAGCCTATTCATCACTTGCCTAATTGGTCTGTGTCTGTGCTCTGCTCCCACCCCCGCCCCCTGCAGACTGTGACTCCTACTGCAAGGCCTCCAAAGGGAAGCTGAAGATTAACATGAAAAAGTACTGCAAGAAGGACTATGGTGAGTGGTGGGGCCAGGGGTGAGGGGCGGGGTCCGGGAGGGGGTGTGGCCAGGAGCAGGGCTGGCCTTGCAGGTGGGTGTCCATCACAGAAGCCCTGTGACTGACAGATCCCACGCCCCTCCCTGCCACCTCTGCCCTCAGGCACAAGGATGTATGAGGGGCCAGGCAGACCCAGATTCTACCCCCACCTCGTTCTGCAGCGCAGTGGCCAGGCTGGGATTCCCAGGCTGACCTTTGGCACTGCTGCCACTGCATGGCCATTTGGCCTCTCTGGGCTTGTGTGTTCCTGTATGTGCCCCTGTGCCTGTGACCCATGTTTGTGTGGCCGAGACTAGATAGTGGGCGGGCATCAGAAAGGGGGCAGGAGGTTGGGGTGTGTGTGTGTGTGAAAGAGAGAGAGAGAGAATATGGACCCCCCTCCAGGCTGTGCCTGACCTGGGAATCTGCATCTTGCCCAGCTCTCATGACTAATAGCCTCCGCAGGGAGCCCCCTCTGAGGCCTTTCTCAGTTGGCAACCTTGGGGGCCACCTGTAGAGATTGCCTGGCACCTGTGTCCTGACCTGGCATTCATGCCCTCAGGCACTCTTCCACAGGGAAGAGGGTCCTGTGTCCACGCCCCCCCATCACCTGCTCTCACTGTGTGTCTGCTCCAGCCACTCCCCTCCCCTGGGAGATGAGCTGACATGGTGGTGTCTGTTTGGCTGGAGGCCATTCCTGCTGCAGGATCAAAGTCAGCGGGGCTGGAGGGACCTAGAGAACCTGTGGGCTCAGCAGGTGAGGTGTGAGAGAGCTGAGGGGGTGGAGTGGGGCTTGAACAAGGCAGGGGGTGCCAACAGAAGCCCTGAGAGGTCTTGGGCCTCAGCGTTGGCAGGGTGCTGCCCAGCGGGTCCTCCTGCCAGCTGGGACTTGAGCGGGGGGCTGTGTGGCATTCAGGGAGTTCCCTGTGAGCTGAGGGCCCGCGGGTCCAGGTTGCCCTACATCTGTCCCTCTGTCTTTCCTTGTCCTGGAGGGGCTCTTTAAGTTGTTCCAGGGAGGAGAAGGGGCCAAGGTGTCTTTCTGGAAGGTACTGAGCTAGTTCCCACTCTGTCCTTCAGCTGTAAATGGCAGATCCCTGGACTGTCTCCCGTATGGGCAGCAGGGGCCCCAGCACTTGGGCCCATCCTTGGCTGCTTTCCTAGTCATGTTAGCAGGGAGCTACATTGGAAGCAGAGCAGCCAGAGATTGAATTGGAATGCCGGCATGTTGCAGACAACAGCTTAACCACAATGCCACAAGGCTCCTCCCAAAGCTTCATTTCTCTTCCTTGTGGGTCCTGGGGACACTTGGATTCCCTCCCCATCTTTGCTGAACTCCTTCTCATACGGGCACACCCTGAAACCACCTGGTGCGGTCCCAGACAGAGTCTAGCCTCCTGGACCACCAGGCCACAGATCTTGGCCCTCTGCCCACCTGACCCCACCTGTTACCCTCCTTGTGGCAGGTGTTAGAAGTGGGGGTTCTGTTCCACTCAGATCACATGGTGGGCACTGGCCCAGCATAGGGGGCCTCACTACTACCTATGGGTCCTTTAAAGGGCAAGACTCACACAGCAGGAGGTTGTAGGGAAACTCTATAGGGTACCCCAGTGGGGCCATTTTAACCATGCTGCCCCCAGGACTGTTGATGCCTGTCTTAGTCCTTTTGCTGCTGCTCTATCACAGTGCCCAACAGAATGGGTTATGAAGGCAAGAGGCAGCTCTGGGCATCCACCTGCACGGCACTGGCATGGCTCAGCCTCTAAGGAGGGCCTCATGCTGCTGTGGTTCCAGGGGAGTGCAGAAGGAAGGCAGGTGTGTGTGAGGGGGCACTGAGGGGACAGTGGTCTCTGACTTCCTGCTGTGGGCCACAGCCCCTCGCAATACCCAGACACTGGGGTCCTAGCCTCAGCCCAAGCTTGGCTGGGGACCAACTGCCTTCCGATTGAACACAGCTGGAGTTTGGGTTCCAGGCCTGCTCCCTAGAAAGCAGGTGCACTGAAGTGTTTTGGGGGGCAAGGCTCCCAGCTCACCATCCAGGGGTGTGTGTGTGTGTGTTTACACACAGTGGGGAGCAGGAGCAGTGAAGCCTCCTCAGGGACTTGCAGGGACTCCTGGGAGGCTCGGGGGAACCCCAGGAGATGCAGTGAGCAGTCAGCGGGGCAGGATGGGCACCCCCGGGCTCAGGCCTTGCTCTGGGCCTTTGGCAAGTCTTCCATGCATCAGTGATTGGGCCCCAGGCCCCCTGGCTGGAGCAGCAGGACATGCGGGAGCTGGCTTGGGGGTGATCAGAGGGCAGGGCAGGGCAGCTGAGCAGCCGCTGAGCAGGCCAGGCAGGGCTGGCTGAGAGCTGGCTCGGAGTTTGTAATCCCCGGGTTCTCTGGCTGACACTCGGTGGGGGGCCAATTAGGAAACACATTTCCTTCCCTTGCAGGGCACTTGGATGCTCCTGAAGCTGCTAATTAGAACCTCGGGTTTGCTGCCCCTGCTGGGGAAGGCCCGGCCGCCTACCCTGGTCCCCTTCCTCCTCCAGGCCAGCTTGGGACAGACTTGCCTTGGGAACCAGGGAGAGTGCCCGTCTAGGGCTCTGTTGACCCTATGTTGAGGAGCGGTATTGCAGAGGTTGGAGCAAGGGAGGTAGTATAGGGCTGCTTGGGATGGGCACTGTGCCAGGCAAGGAGGAATCAGGGTGGGCCTGGGTAAGGGGATGGGGCCTCAATGCCCAGGCCTGGGCCTGCCTACTTCTCATGTCCAGTCAACCTCTCTGGTCTGTGGGCACTTGGGCCAGGGAGCTCTCCCAGGGCCTGTTTTTTTTCTTTCTTTCTTTCTAACTTTCCAAATAGGGAAGAGGTGCCAGGAAGGAAATATGATGTCCACCCCCACCCTCACTCTCTGGCAAGCAGTGGTGGTGGTCCTGCCACACCAGGTGCCATGTCCAGGGCAGGACTGGCTCCCCACACCTGTTCCAGCACCTGTTCCTGGCACCTGCTCCTGGCACCTGCTCCCGGCTCTCCTGGGGCCACCTCAGTCCTCTGTTGCCCTCTAGGGGATTCTAGCTCACCTTGCAAATGCAGGACCCTGTTGGAGGGTGGAGTTGGGAGTGGAGTAAGCCAGGGAGAAGGGCCAATGAGCGGGTCAGCCAGTCTCCTGGGAGAGGTGTGCCCAGGAGAGGGCCTGTCCTCATGGGGATGCCCTGGGCACAGGTGTATGTGTGTGTGTGTAATGGATACGGCCCTGCTGGAGCTCCCTGCCCTGGGCACCTGTACCTGGATGCAGGACTCATGAGAGTGGAGGGTCTTCCCTGGCTGGTTTTCTGGTCTTCTTGCCTCTTGTGTCCCCTCTCCTCTTCCTCCTTCCCAGGCCATCTCAGCCTTGCTTGCTCTGAGTGCCCAGCTCACAAATCAACAAGAACTTAACCTTGGCCTTCAGGAGTTTCTGGTTCAAGAGTGGAGCGAGACACTCGGACCAGAACCACAGAAGGTAGACCTGTGGCCTGGTTACAACCTGTACTGGGCATATGTACAGAGCACTGCCCCTGTCCCTTGCAGAGGATGGGAAGGAAGGCTTCCTGGAGGAGGCAACCATAGGCAACCAGGAACCCATAGGCACCATGTACCACAGGACCCCAGGTGGGAAGGAGAAGAGGCTGCAGGCACTGGAGCTGGGGGCAGGCTAACCCAGGAAGGTTGGGGATGAGGCCAACATTCATACATCACCCCACCCACTGTCCATCCCACCACTGCTGCCTCGGGTGGCCTGGGAGCTGCCACTAGCTAGCCCCTTTTCCCCAGGACCCCAAAGGGTGGTGGGTGGGAGGCAGGGATGGCTTCTTGGCTGGAAGGTGAGATCATTTCACTCGTGCCGGTTCTTGGAAAAAAAAGATTCATTCCCAGAAATGTTGATTAGTCACCCCTTTTGTTGAAAGACATTTTGGCACCACCACATGGAAAAAACCAGGATGCTTCTCCCCGGGAGGACTTGTTGTCCCCAGTCCTCCTCCTGGGCTCCCAGCATGACGGCTGCAGACGAGTGGGCCCAGGGGCACCACTGCTGGCATCCCTGGGCAGACATGGGGATAATTGGGAGTGTGTGTGCGTGTGTGTGCGCGCGCATGCACACTCAGGTGGGAGGGATGGTCCAGATGACAGGAATGGGGGCGGGCAGAGGTAGAGTTGGCATCTCTGTCCCAGTGCTGGGCATCATCAGATCCCATGGGCATGGATAAGAGGGGAATGGGCAGTGACTGTGAGGCCTTGTGGGGTGTGAGGCCTTGGTGGGCTTGGCCCCGGAATCGGTGTGTGCCCAGCTCTGGCCGATCAAGTCACTCAGCTTGGGGCCTGCCCTTGACCTTGGGGTCGACAGCTACTCCAGAGAGGACTTAGTCTCTTCAGGCTCCCAGCACAGGGATGGAGCTGCCTCATGGAATGGCATTTGGGTCTTGGATGTGGGCACGGGGGTCACGGCATGGCTCTGCCATGGCTGCCGCAGGAGCTGCCTTCTCCCCCCCACCTCCCTGGTGCCAGAGAACAGCACATGGCCTGGTGTTGTGGAGGCTTGCTGACCCACCCCTGGTGTCGGCGGCCCCCTGCAGAGCCTCCAAGGCCCCCAGCCAGATGTGACCTGCCCTCCCCAGGGGCCGGCCCCATATGGAACCCAGATGTGGTGCTAGGGGCTGCATGAGTCAACCTGAGGTCATGGGGTGTGGGTGACCACCAGGTCATGTAGAAAACCCCCTGAGCCCACAAGAAGTGCACCCACCCCAAGAGCTAGGATTTGGGAGTTGTGGGGTGGAAGTGGATCTGTCCTAGGTGCCTGTGCAGCTGGATCTGGGTCTGCCCTCTGGACTGTGTGGCCATGTGGAAACTGGGCGTGGTAGACCAGGTATCCCTGCCTTTGGATTTGTGTCTTGCATGCCACTGATTTGACCCCTTCACTGCCCCAGGGGCTCTTCATGGCATTCATGGCTGCCTCAGGACCTGCACCATAGTCTCCCCCACTGCCAGCTCCCAGCTCTGCCAGCAGACACCACTTCCTTCCCAGAGCCAAGCCTTGCCCGCCCCCCGCCCTGCCCTGCCCCTGCTCCGTGGCCTGCTTTGGTTTCCTGTTTTAGATTTTGCCCAGGGAAGCATGTTTTAAGAAGGTTTGACTTATGGGCCTTCAGAGCTGAAAGCTGGTTATAGGTAGTGCCTGATGCCCCTCCTACCTGGGGCAGTGTCCTGGGGCAGCTGCAAACGCCAGCCCCACTGTGGGAAGGGGCAGTGCTGGGCTCCCATGCAGCTCCCAGCAGGGGGTGTGGCAGGTTGGGGGTGAGCTCAGCCCTGGTCGGGGTGTGGAGTAAGGCTGGGTTGTGGAGGCTGGCCTTTGCCGCCTGCACAGGAGCTACTTCCAAGGGCATAGGTCTGGGCGGGTGGGGGGGGACACTCGCTAACCCATCTTCCCATTGGGGGAGGGGGCACCTCTCTGGGGGTGGGGCCAGCCAGGGAGTGGGCCACAGGGCTTGAGGGCAGCTCATGGAGCCGTGTGGACCTCATTCTCCCTGAGGTGGACCCATGGCAGCCCCGTGGTGGTAGGTCCAGCCCCAGCTGAAGGTTAGGGGGAGGGGCTACTTGAGCACTGAACTAGGGGGCAGCTGGGCAGGCTCAGGAGGGGAGGAGCCCTTGGCTGTCTCATGCGCTGCTGTGTGCAAGGCACCAGGTCCCTTCTCCTAGTTGAAACTCTGGCAAAGCTGTGACCTTGCTCGTGAGCCTGCAAGCATAGAGGGAGAAGATGGGCTAAGCCCAGCTCCAGGGCAGAGGGCCATTAGCTGCCCTCATCTCCTCATACCTTCTCTGGGGAGAGCCAGGAAGCCAGATGGCGGCTCATTTAAACCCCTCTCCCTTCCCAAGGACAGAGCCCAGGCACGAGGGGAAACTGAGGCAGCTGAGAGAGGCACAGGTGCACTGTGGAGGGAGGGGCTTTAGCCAGCCCCTCGGTGGCATTGTTAGCGTAGCCAAGGTCAGTGTGGCCGGAAGTGGCACCCAGGATCGCCGAGTGTCCCTGGGGCAGCTGGTGGGGGTTGGCTATGGCGAGGCTCCAGCTCCCGCCTCACCTGATGGAAACCCAGCAGGGCCGCTCTGTCCCCACCCCGTATCGGGTGTGTGGGTCCTGGGCAGATCAGCGTTCATGAGCGTAACTAAGATTTGGCTGCCGTCTGGGAGGCATGTGGTCAGAGCCACATTTCTCGAAGGCAGCTGCCAGCTCCCGCCGTGCTTTCTCTGCCGGCAGATTTATGGGACGCGTGGTTTCAATGGTCGCTGTGGGTCAAGCATCCCTCCCCTGTCTGTCCTCTGAGGCAGACGGACGACAAGCCTTCCTAGCCAGACAGGCCCAACTGGAAGGTATGGTGGGTGGGGGGGGAAGGGGAGACCACCCAAGCTCCCTTGGGAGGATTCCTCCCCAGAGCCAGCCCATCCACCGAGGGACCTCGAGGAGGTCCAACAACCCACAGAAGTGTCCCCACGTGCAGGGGGCCCGCCTCATCCCCGCCCAGCAGGGCCCTTCGCTGCTACAGCAACACCCATGGCAAGCAAATGGAGGCGGAGCCAACAGCTTTCCTCCAGCCAGACACAAGAGTTTTTTTTATTCAAAGATTCATTTTTATTAGATTTACAGAGATACAGATCTTCCATTTACTGGTTCCCACCCCAAGGGGTCGTAATAGCTGGAACTGAGCTGATCTGAAGCCTGGAGCTTCTTTGGGTCTCCCATGCAGGTGCAGGGTCCCAAGGCTTTGGGCCGTCCTCTACTGCTTTCCCGGGCCACAAGCAGGGAGCTGGAAGGGAAGTGGAGCAGTTAGGACATAAACTGGCATCTATATGGGATCCCGGTGCATGCAAGGCAAGGATTTAGCCACTAGGCCATCACACTGGACACAAGGTGGGGGAGCTTTGATCCCAGGGGAGTTGTGGGGTTCTCCACTCTGTTCCCAGCCACCTCCCATCACTGACTTCCCAGGGTGGGAGGGGTGCTGATTACAGGCTGGGTGGCTCATGGCCAGGGCTGCCCTGGGGGCACTGGAGCACCCATTCAGGTGGCCCCCACCTTGATGGCCAATGTTGGGGCTGTGCAGTGGAAGGGCAAGGGCACCAGGGCTGCCCCCACCCAAGGCCCTACCTTTTAATCCTGGCACAACCCCTGCAGGCTGGGTGGGTCCTCAAGTTCCATAGTCCTGTGAGGGGCAGCCTCCTGCTCCAGGGATGTCACGGGCACGTCTGGCTCCTGGTGGCAGGTCTGTGGCGAGACAGAGGTCACCATCAGGACGATGTATGTTGAATGTTCTCAGCCGTATGTGCACAGTGGAGGCTGCACATACTTGGAGGGTTGTGTAACGGGGAGAGGCCGTGCCAAGTGCAGCAGAAACGGGGGGTTGTGTCCAACACGGTGCCCTGACTCCTGGGCCCACCCTCCCCTGCCCTCGCCCAGTCCCACCCTGGCGCCTGCTGGGGTGTGGAAGGGAGATGGGGCCAGATGCTCTGTCAAGGGCAGCAAGGTGCGGTCCTGTGCCCCGAGCGGGGGAGAGGCGGCTGTCCCACCCCCCAAGTTTCTGGGGCTTTTGCCTTGGGGAGCGGCTGCCTGACCCTCTGCTTGTACTTAGAGCTCCTGCAGGGAGTGGGGTGATCTTCATGGGCATAGCTGGACCAAGCTTGGACTTTGCCCCCTTTTTTTGGTCACCTCTTAGCACCCTTCCCCCTAACCCCCACCCCCGAGAGATGGCACTGGACCTGTCCTTGGGTGCCGAGCTGGGGCCCAAGTGTCTGAGGCCCCTGGCACAGATCCCATGGTCTGAGCTCAGGGTAGGTGCGGTCAGTCCTCCCAAGGACCTTGGTTGTACAGGTGGCAGATGGCTGCCTTGTGGCAGTGAATGTATCCTCACAAGGACCACCCTGTCGGTTCGGGCCCACCCTCGTGATGTCATCTCAGTGGCTCTTTGTGGACCCAATCTGCAGCTACACTTTGGCTCTCCAGGGCAGGGTCTGAGCGTACGCCCTTGCCAGCGGCGGGTGTGGGAGGGCGTGAAGAGATGCTCGGGCCGCGCGAGGTTCATTGTGCATTCCGCTCAGTCCTGGGGAGAGGAAACCGGGGCTCTCATGGTGGCCGGGGCGGGGTGGGATCCCCCTCTTGGTTGCCACGGTGACCTCCGTCTGCAGTCAGATACACATGGCCCAGCCACTTCTCCAGAGTGCCCCCTCCTCCCGCCAAGAGTTCACACTGAGTGTTGAGTCCCTTGGTGACAAAAACATGGAAACGGTTGCCATGGCAGCCATTCTTTGGAGCCCTCCGACTGGAGTGCAAAGTTCAGGATGCCCAGGAACAGCTGAAATGAAAATATGAGAAAATCCACCCTTTCCCCCTCCCCCCCATGTAGGAGGCATCCTGTGCACCCTGGGCCGTGGGTGGGTGCAGGGGGGTGTCCCCTGGGACTGAAGGTGTGCTTGAGAAAAGTTAGTCAGCAGGGAAGGTGGGCAGAGCTGTGTGTGCACCCACTGTGTGGATTGGTAGGTGCCAGGTTCTGAGTCCATGATTGGGGTCTTAGGAGAAGTGGGTGCCTGTAGCATGCTGGGGACCAGGTCAGTTGTTGTAGGCATTGCCTGGCCTTCCTGGACCCTGGCAGTGGCAGAGGGGGCTGGTCCCCATAGGCAGCACTGGGTGGCCCCTTCCATGGGGGAATGCAGGGCTTGATTCAGGGAGGGCCTGCCCACCCCACCGCCTCCCCAGGCCGTGCCCGTGGTGGCTTTGGGGTCTCCTGGCCCCCTGCTGGGTTCCTCTGTTCTGTGCTTACCCACCCCGTGCCCACGCTTCCTTGCAGCCGTGCAGATCCATGTCCTGAAAGCAGACAAGGGCACGGACTGGTGGAAATTCACCGTGAACGTCATCTCGGTGTACAAGCAAGGCGCGGGCCGCATCCGCCGCGGCGAACAGAGCCTGTGGATCCGCTCGCGAGACGTGACCTGTAGGTGCCCCAGGATCAAGACCCTCAAGAAGTACCTGCTGCTGGGCAACACCGAGGACTCGCCCCCCGACCAGGGCGGCCTCGTGGCGGACAAGAGCAGCCTGGTGATCCAGTGGCGGGACACGTGGGCGCGGCGGCTGCGGAAGTTCCAGCAGCGTGAGAAGAAGGGCAGGTGTAAGAAGGCCTAGCCTGGAGGTGGCGGCGGCGGCGCGCGCCCGGGGAGCCCCCCTCTCCACCCGCGGGGCGGGCCACCGAGGCTGCTGCGTGGACTTGGCCCTCGGGGGCTGGCCCGGGGAGGGGAGGGGGAAGGCGGGGCCCTCGGCGGCCCACCCTGCGCGCCCCACCCCTGCGCTTGCCAGCAGGTGCAGGGCAGGGAGCGCCGCAGGCCCTGGAGCAATGAGGGCGAGACTTAGCTACCTCACGGGGCTCCTCACAGAGCTGAGACGCGCATTCACGCTTTTCCGGGGGTGGGGGGCGGGTTGGGGGGGAGGCTAGGCGGGGGTTGCCGGGGAGGGGGCTGGCCCAGGCACAGGTCACGGATAGGTTCCTGAGGAGGAGAGGGGAGGAGAACTGTGAATTCCAGCCCTGCACCAGCTCCGCCCACCCCTTGGCCTTTCTCTCTCGAGGAATCCACACAGGACACCTGGCTGTGGGGACCCTCTGAAGGGGCAGCGGGTGAGGGACAGCCTATCCATGTGGCCTCTTGTCTGCCTGGCTTCCCACTTTCTTGGTTTTCCAAGGAAGGGTCCTGGGGTTTGACGGGGGGGGGGGGGGGGGGAGTCACCCTCAGTGGGGAGAAGAAAGGGGACCCCTACTGGGTGCCTGCCCCTGCCAGCTGGGGACAGCCCCGGGTTCTGGCTCAGCCACACGAAGGGCACCAGCTCAAGGACAGCCCGGAGAAGGCCCAGCCGGGTGGTCACTGCCTCGCACCAGGGCCACTTGCCACTCTGCAAAGGCAAAAAACCTCCCACAGAGTTTCCTTTTTGGAAACTTGGACCTGGCTTGCTTTATGACATTTTTCCAGGGGAGGGGGCGGCAACACTGTTTGTGGAATGACGTCGGCTCCCACAAGGTCCCTGGAGCAGTGTGGAAGCTGGATGGGGCTGGCATGGGCACAGAAAGCGGGCTGCAGAGCTGGTGGGGGCCTGGCTGGGAGAGAAGAGAGGGCTGGCAGGCAGGGCTGGGGATGGCCGGGTTCCTGGCCGCAGCCGAGGGAGCCACAACCACTTCCTCTTGCTGCCCTCCTGCGCGAGGGCAGAGGGGAGGGTTGCTGGTTCTGCTGGCTGTCTCACTATAGCCTGGGCTGGCCGTAGCACACTCAATTCTGGCTCTCGGGCCATCTACCATGCCCACCTTTGTCTTCCAAAGCCACGAGGAGACACGACCCTGGGGGGTGGGGGCGGGGGAGGCAGCCCCTGAGGGTGGAAGGACCCAGCTTCCGCAGGTCCCCTGTCCGGGGTCTGGCTGCTCCACAGGGACACATCGGGAGGGCTGTTCAACCCCTCGGTCTCAGCCCCACCCGTACTGAGCCCTTCCATCCTGCCACGTCCCCACTGCTGTGTGCCAGGCACTTTACCCCCTTGCTCTTGGTGTGTCCTCGCCCACCACCTCCACTGTGGAACTGCAGTCTCCCTGTCCAGAGTCGCACCTGACCTGGCTCCGCAGCCACACTTGAAAATGGTCACCAAGGCCAGGCTGCTGCATTCCAAGGTCCAGCGGCTGGCCCTGGCTGCTGCCTCTGAAGAGGAACCATGACAAGTGTCACTGCTCCCAGGTCACCTGAGGAGGGTGGTTTAGCTGTAGGGGGCAGCGTGGTGGGGGCCCACAGCAACTGGCTGTGGTTTCTGCCTGCACGGATGCAGAGGGGACAGTGGCAGCCCCATCCCACTGCGTGACCCACATTGGTGGTCCCCAAGGTTCTCCCTGAACTGCCAGCCTGCCTCCCCCCTCCCCAGAGGTGCCAGGGTTGGGAAGAAGTCCCAGTTGGCACCTGCAGGCCCCACCCACAGCTCCTCTCATCACGCCCCTTCCCTCCCCCAGGGAGGAGCTGGCACCTAGGACCAAGGCGTGGAGGCTTGTACAGATAGGAAGGGACAGGAAACAGAGCTAGGTCCCGAGTTGAGTGCTGAAGTGTTATTAACCTGCATTGCGAGCGGTAGGTGTTTGACAGAAATGTGCCGGGTTAGTCTCTGTTATTCAAGCCAATGCACCAGTTGGGCACTGCAGCCGGGTGACATGGTGTCTCCACCAGCCACATACCTGCTCCACTGAAGCGCGGGGGTGGGCAGATGTCCTCAGCTCCCTGTGGAGCTCAGCCAGAGCCCAGGTGGGCAGTGTGATGGAGACCCCCCCAAGGGGCTTGGGGACCAGCTTCCCTGAGGAGACTGAAAACCATCTCCGGTCTCCTCCAGGACGGAAGTTGCTCCTGAAAATCAGATGAGGCTCAGTGGTGGGGGGCTGGGTTGGCACCATGCCACACCCCAGGGCTGTCCCACGTGTCCTCGGTGGGGTAGGCCTTGCCCCCAGGTCCGCCCCTCCCTCCCCGGCCTTCTGCATTTCTGATCACTCAGAATTGTAAATGTTTAGTTGTGACCATGACATATTGTTTGGGTCAGCGTTCCCTCCCAATGCATACTAATATATTATGGTTATTATATATGAATATATTTAATGACATGGAAAAAGTTGTGGATTTTTTTTAAGGCTTTCTTTTCCGCTAGAGTTGTAATGGACCCAGATGGAACTTGTAACGTGGGCCCCACGTGATAGAACTAAATTCAGATATCATTAAATAAACTCTTGTACACTCTCCTGCCTCCGAGTCATTGCAGTGGGGGAGGGGGAAGAGGGACGGGCAGGGGGCTTGCGGCTCTTGTCCCGGCAGGACAGGGCCCTTACCTCCAAAAAGGTAGCTGGGGCCTGTTGGCGGGCAGTGCTGTTTGCAGCTGTAGGCTGTGGTGTAACCCTCCAGGAGAGGGACCCTGGGATCCAACTGGGCTCCTGCACTGGGGAGCGGGGGACTCTCCTCAGCCATGCAAGGTGGGGAATGGCCTTGACCTTCCCCACTCCATTGGATTTGGAACCTGCAAGTGAGTCTCACCTTTGACATGAAGCAGCTTTCTTCATTCACAGCCGCAAGACCAGCGACGCTCGGGATCTCACGGGGCCTAAGCCGCCACGAGCACCTCCAGGCAGTGCCGAGTTGGGATCTGCCCAGGGCTGAGCTCCCTGGGTTTCCGGCAGGCCACACTTGAACCTTTAAACAGTTACAGTGTGGTACCCAGATTAATCAGTGGGGCCATGTCATGTGGCTGCATGAAGGGCAGTCATGGGCCACAAGGACACTGCCTCCAGCGGCCACTGGGGGCACGTTTCTGCCACAGGCCCTCTTCTCCCTGAAGGCCTGGGAAGCTTGCCTGTTGCTGGGATACATGCGCAGTCTTCAGGGTCCTGGGTGCTCTCAGGGACATCAGACCTGCGTGGACACTGGGCTGAGGGCTATGGTATACTTAGCCATTGCTGTGCCATCTTTAGTCGTTACATGATGAGTGTGGCATGGCTTGCTTCCATCTGTCCGCCCCCTTGGGATGTGGCCTTGGCCAGGCCCATGCTGGCAGCCCCTAGGCAAACACAGAATAAATAGTGATGCTGCCCCCCCCCGTCCCGGGACCTCTGGGGGAGGAGGGGCCAACACCCGCCCAGCTCAAACCACAGGGGACATGGGCTGGGGGAGACCCATTGTACAGACTGCAACATGGAGGCCGGGGATCAGAGCCAGTGCGGACCCCTTCTGCGTCCACTGGACACTTGCTCATTTCTGGAAAGAGGTCCCCACCTCCTGCAGTGGCACACTGCTGGGAAGATGTTTTGTGAACCTGGGTAAGACGAATACTGGAAGCAGGGGTTTGGGCTTGCTTTTTAACAGAAAAAAAAAAAAAAGAACCATGCATGCACTTAACTGGACAGCGCTGGTGTTCATGAAGCTGAGAGTTGGTGCTTAGCCTGTGCACGGAGCTGTGGGCGTCTCTCTGAGGCTGGAGGAGGAGGAACCAGGACCCCCGAGGGGGACTCAGGCAGGCTGTGGCGTGGCCGGAAGTGGTGACGTCAGGAGAGCCGGCAGGGGAGGCCGGGTTACTGTGCAGCGCCCTGCGGGGACAGCCAGCAGGAACCCAGCTGGGGGCTGTGCGAGAGGGGCGGGTGGTCCTGGGGACTGCCAGCGGGTTATGAATCACAATGACATTTACACAGCCCCCCCGAAAGCGCCGCGGGTACCCAGGTATCTGGATTTCTTTATATGGTCTCCAGGCTTGCAGTGCTTATAATTAATAACCGTGGTAGTTAAACAATCTGCTGCTGTTATTTTAATGACGTTTGTTTTCACTGAGAAAAGTGCCCGATATGATGGCGGTGGGACAGGGAGGGGAGGTGCCTTACCGCCTTGTCCTCACGCTCAGGGCGGCGTCAGCTTCAGGCTCACCCAGGCCATCCCAGCGCACTGGCAGGGTGGGGGCTGGGCGGGTGCGGCCAGTTTTTCCCTTAGTTATGGTGCTGCAGGATAGAGGGAAGGGAACAGGTTCCTAGCCACCTGGCAACACCGTGCCAATTTTCCATCTGTTTGGGCCAGAGCTGGGAGTCTCCCAGGAGAAGCCCACCACTAGAGGAAGACTCAGAGGAACTTGGGCTCAAGGCCTGGACAGCACCAGGCCCTGGCACTCCCTGGGCAGCCTGTCCCCTGGCCTACCTTGCCCCAGAGGTTCAGAGAGGTGAAGTTGCGGGGCCAGGGTCACACAGTTAGCCGCACTGGGCCCAGGGCTGGAGCTTGTTCATTCAGTGGGAGGACGGAAGCTGCTGTGTGCAGATGCTGGCAGAGCTGTGCTGAAAAGGCCTCGCAGTGTGGCCGAGCCAGGACTCCGTGCTGAGGTGAGAAAGTCAAACAGACCATCAATGGTGCCTGTCTCCTCCCGCCCTCCCAGCCCTTAGGTAGGTGTGGGAGTTCCTAAGAGACCTGTTTGCAAAGATTTGGGGGTACCGAGCTGCAGGGTGTGGATCTGCAGGTTCTTGGTCTTCTATTGGGTGATCTATTAGCAACCACTGTGCCCTGGCAAGGCGGGGCATCCCCGGGCACGTCCCCTGTCCCCCCCCCCGGCCCTGTCCTGACACTGGTCCTTGTTGGTGCCTTGCTGGCCCCTCAAGCCCCTTCT